TTTCAACCATAAAGTGCCTTTTTCAGCCTGCAAACATGTGAGGGATGAACATGAGATTCAAAACCTGGTGGCTGTTGCATATAAATGTCTGTTGCGTTGTCCAAAGTCCCATGAAGAAAAGCATTTTCAACATCCAGCTATTTGATTATCCACCCTTTGGAGAGTGCTATGGTAAGAACCATCCTCACTGTGACTGGTTTTATAACAGGACAGAAAATCTCCTGAAAGTCTAACCCAGGGATCTGAGTGTAGCCTTTGGCTACAAGCCGAGCTTTGTACCTTGAGACTGATCTGTCTGCATTAAATTTGGTTTTAGAAACCCATTTACAGCCTATGGTTGTTCTGCCATGAGGTAAAGGGACTATGTCCCATGTATTATTCCTCAGCAAAGCATTGTGTTCTGTGATCATAGCTTGGTGCCATTGTGGAGAAAGCATAGCTTCTACATGATCTGTTGGCTCACTGTGATTAAGAAGATTGGAATAGGCCTTGGGTTTAAATATCCCTCTCTTGGACCTGGTGATCATGTGATGTTGAGTTGGGGCTGTCTGCATAGGAGATGAGGCATTGGTATTGGACATCTCATTAGGTGAGTTAGGCCCTGAATGATGAGGTGTTGTTGAGTGGTTTGTGTTATGTGAGGGAGAAGAAGAAGGAGCAGACTGATGTTGTTGTGGGGTTGAAGTTGGTGTCTGCTGGGATCTAGGTGGTGTCTGTGATGTATTAAGATGAGGTTGAGAAGTGGTGGTGTGTGGTGCATGGATTTCAGGTAGGACAACATACAAATGATTATGCAAGCAATCAGTAGATGTAGGCTCAGTTTGCTTAGACATTTGAAAATGAAAACAACCTTCATTAAAGACCACATCTCTTGACATTATGACCTTTCCCCCTTTAATAAGAATCCTATAGCCTTTAAACTGATGATGGTAACCCAAAAACACCCCTTGTTGGGATCTTAGGTCAAGTTTGTCTTTGTTATAAGACCTCATGTGAGGATAGGCAGCACAACCAAAAATTCTCAAGTGCTCATATGTTGGTTTCATCCCAAAAAGAAGGGAAAAGGGAGAACTGAAGTTGATAGTTTTGTTGGGAATCATATTTATAAGATATATGGTTGTACTGAAGGCTTCCTCCCAAAATTTCTTAGGGACATTAGATTGAGACAACAGACTAAGAGCCACCTCTATGATGTGTCTATGTTTTCTTTCTACAAGCCCATTTTGCTGGGGTGTATATGGGCATGAGATTCTATGAATGATTCCATTTTCTGAAAAGAGATTGGATAAAGGTTTAAACCTTGTCCCCCCCATCACTTTGCACCATTTTGATTTTTAAGTTCAATTGGTTTTCAACAAGGCTTTTGAATTCTTTAAAAGTTGCTATGGTGTCTGATTTTTGTTTAAGGAAATAAAGCCAAGTGAATTTGGTGAAGTCATCAATAAAGGCAACATAGTAGAAAGACCCTGAGGTTGATTTTAGAGGTGCTGGTCCCCATAGGTCTGTATGAATGAGTTCAAGGGGTTGCTTGGTAACGTGAGAGGAAGAATTAAAAGGAAGTCTGTGGGATTTGGCTTGCACACAATCAGAACAAAAAATTTTATTATCATTGACATAAGGCTGATTACAATCATTTAAAGCTTTCACAGTCACATCATGAGAAGGGTGACCTAGCCTTCTATGCCAAACATCTAAAGACTTAACAGAACAAGAAACATAAACTTGATCCCTAACAGACTTAAGACTCTCATTCTTGAAGCTTTTCCTATCTTGACCTTGATCAGACACCCTATTGAGCTTGAATGAGTAAAGACCATCCTTAAGTTTCCCTTTGAGGAGTTTCACTCCTGAAGTTTGATCCTTCACAACACAAAAAGAAGGAAAGAACTCAAAGTAAACATTATTTTCCCTAGCAAACTGAGGCACACTAATGAGATTTTTTGCAATATTAGGAACATGTAAAAGGTTTGAGAGTTTAAAAATATGTTGTGTGTCATGTTGTGAGGTGTTGGCAATTAAGGATGTCTTACTCACATGAGATATGTCCAAACCAGACCCATTACCAATTTGCAGCTTGTTGGGACCTCCATACTCAGAGGCAACACTAAGATTGTTGAAATCATTGGTGACATGATGTGAAGCACCTGAGTCTGGGAACCATTCATTCTCACTGTTAGAATCCTTTGAGGCATACATGACTGAAGATTGGCTCACACTTTTGTTATCATTGAATCCTCTTTACTGCTGAGTTTGATGAACAAAGTCTGGGTTGAACTCCGTTGTAGCATTTATCAGCTCTGTGGTTGGTATATCCACAAATCTGGCACTACACCTTATTTCCAAAGTTTATGCCTCATCTTCCTCTATTAGACCTTCCTCTGCCTCTAAACCCTTGCTGATTTCCTCTTCCTCTTGAAGGGTAGTTATGTGAGAAGGGTTTGTTTTGCTGAACAACAACATTGGCACTAGGAAGTGATGAGGATTCATTAATGGAAGCAGCTGCTTGCAGTCTGCTTTCATATGTGAGCAGGAGTGAAAGAACATCCATCATGGTGAGCTGGTCTGATCTAGCATTTATGTTGACCACTACTGCATCATATTATGCCCCAAGACCACTCAACACATGCATGATTTGGTCCTCTTCTGTTATCATGTGACCTCCTGCAGCCAAAGTATCACAACACATCTTCACTTTGTTCACATATTCCCTTATGCTCAAACTTCCTTTCTTGAGGTTTTGTTGTTGGATCCTGTAATGCATGGTTCTAGCCTTTGATTATGTGGAGAAACTGGATTCCAAGCTTTGCCAGATCTAGGATGAGCTGCTCATTCCAACCACTGAGATGAGGATGGATTCTGAGAGAGAGGACAAGAGCCATGATGCAAGGATTGGTCCTGTCTTTGCCAAAAAATGAACTTAGGATTCACCTGTAACAACCCTTCTTCTTCTCCGGGTATGAATCTGGTGGGAATCTTAACAGATCCATCGAGGTATCCTTCAAGACCAAAGCCCCTGACTGTAGTAAGGATCTGCTGCCTCCAAATCAAATGATTCTCATCAGAAAGTTTGAGTGTGATGAGTTGGTTCTTTAACTGGATGGGTTGGACTGCAGTGGGTGGATTCTGGGATTGAGCTGAGGAAGATGAGGCCATGATTTATCCCAAGGTACAAAACAGGTTATCCCTGCTCTGATACCATGTTGGATTTAAAGCATATCATGATTTAAATGAAAGCAAGAAAGAGATTAAGATAAGCTATATGTTCTTGATATCAAAATGTTGTTCAAATCTCAGATCTGTAAATGGAGCTTACATGCCTTATTTATAGGCCAAACTAAGAAAGAGAATAAGCTTTACATAGTACCATAATGGAAAAGAAACAATAAAAACAAAAAGAAAGTTGCCATATGCAACGGCTATGTGCAGTACAAGGCAGGTGGTGGCAGGTTTGTCTCCTGTTTGCCATGCATGGGCTGCATGTCCCTTTCTCCACGTAAGGTAAGGTGTGAACATGAGATAGAAGCTGACATGGCAGCTGGTTGACTCTGTTGACCAGTATTCTCAACATGTCCGCATTGACGACGGAGGAATTAGAGCTGCCGAAATGGTCCATCTTATCGCCGCACGTGCGATATGGTTGTCCGACGCTGTTTCAGCTCGATTGGCGGCCAAATTGAAGGCGAACATAGGTAAATCTTCAATCCAGCAGATTTAGGATGAGCATACGCCAAAGTCCACGCGCAGATAAAATTTACCTTATTTTGGGAATCAAGATAAGAGTTTTAGAGAGAGAGAGGGAGAGGAAAACGACTTTTGGGTGTATGAATTATGATGGTCAAAGATTGGGGAAAGGAAATAGGGATCTGCTAGGGTTAAAGGAAAAAAATGAGACGCTTATGTGTGTTCTTTTCGTGCTCTCAGATTGAAGGCGATAGTTGCATACAGGGCTCAAGCGCACAAGAAATCTCATCATTTGAGAAAGAAAATTACATGATGGCCGCCAGAGACGCCTCCTTTGTCGGTGGTTGCAACACCCTCCACAGCCTTCCCCTCGTTGCGGGCGTAACTCGTCCCCTGCCTCCTCGACATGTCCGACGGAGGACACCAAGCCTTCATCTAATTCTACGCCCAGTCGAGAAGAATCATTTTCAGAGATTGAGAAATTTGAGAAGAAGCTTTTTTTTGAAATAGCAAGTATGATTGATGTTAGATTGAATGAAAAAAATCAAATGCGTGTGGCGTAAAATCCGCCTGTCTTTGTCTTTGAATGACGATGACGAAAATAACCTCTAAGGCGATAAAAAGTGAGTGAGGGTTAAAATGAGGATAATTCAATCAAAAAAAAAAAAGAAGAAACTAAACCTCTGCAAACGTCGCCGTTTTGAACAAAATAGTAAGAAATAAGATTATTTCAGTCATTTCGAAATAACCTTCCCACCGCCAAGCCACGTGTCAACCGGACATCACATGCCCTTCAAAATGTTGGCTTATACATATAGGAGCGAAATAAATATAAGAGATAGATATCAACTCCAAGATCAATAATCAATTTACATTCAAGTTATTGTTTTTTTTCGTCATTTTATTACGTCATTTGATTATGTGAAAGTAGTAGTAAAAATGGGCGGCTATATTCAAAAGCTATAAATTTCAAAATTTCCATTGGCATGGCATTGCCGTAGTTTTGCTCCCATAAATAAACGCGTCAACACCTCAATTATTAAAAAAATAAAATAAAATAAAAATCCCCCTTCCTTTCACACCCATATGCACGCGCGCGCACAAATAAATTCAGTCACATTCCCCACTGGCATTTGCTGTTTACCGTGTTTGTTTAAGCCAGCCTTTTTCGCTCTCATACATTCACCCACAAAAATACGAGAGAGAGAGAGAGAGAGAGAGAGAGAGAGAGAGAGAGAGAGGCACATAAGCAACAAGCGAGAACAATTTCACCGGAGCAGAAGAATTTAGATCTCAAAATCAGCTAGACCTACCGATCTATGGCTGCAATTTGGAAAATTCTGCTGGGTCTCGTCGCCGTAGCGTCACTTTTAGCCTCCCAGGCGTCGGCCGGCGGGGACCGCGAGGCGGCGGTCGGGTTTCCGGTGATATCCGGCTGCAGCGGAACCGTCGGCGAGTGCCTCGAGGACGAGGACGAGGAGTTCGCGTTGGAATCG